TATTTTTACGGCACACCCGTTACCTCTCATCACGTAACACAACTTTAGAGTTACGCCAATGCTACCTTCTTGACTAAAACCTCACAATTCTTACATAAATGGTAAAGCTGTTTAATCCTTTATTATTTTAATTATTTTCATTTATTTCTATTCTTAGTTAGTTGGTGGTCCTGTAGATGACATATTTTAAGTATTATATTCTTTTAGAGAGCTGATTATGGGCTGCTTGTCTTGAAGCCAATCCACTTGATCACATGAAGTCTAATCTTTAACTCACTATCTTTTTCTTTTTTGCATCTTAGCTAAGATTTAATACCCCATGTGGGATGTTTCTAATAGTTGTTCTTAGATTTTGTCTTCTTTGATTTTCTGCTTTGGTTAAAAAATTCAGTAGTACATCTTTTATTAATCCCTTATTGGTCCTCTTCTGACATGTTTCTACTTGACCTTTTTTTTGATATGAGTGAGATTCTTGATTTCTTGAGTATTATTGCTAGTTGTCTTTAGTTGGGTTTTAGCAAAATATGATTTTTAGCCAAGTATGATGGTTTTCTTGGGAATATAATGAAAAATTGTACTGAATTTTGAGCAAGATGGGATTTTTATGATATTTCAATATGTGGGTTGAAGAGCTAGAGTTTCTTGAGTATTATTTCTAGTTGGCTTTAGTTGGGTTTTGGCAAAATATGATTTTTCACTAAGCATAATGGTTTTCTTGGGAATAAATATGATGAGAAATTGGACTAAATGTTGAGCAAGATTGGATTTTTATGATATTCCAAGATTTGGGTTGAAGAGCTCAAGTGAATATAAATATATTTAGTTGAGGATTATTTGGTTTTTGTCCAATTTTGTAGGATCTGTGGAATTTGAGTAGGTGGGAATGGAAAGCAATTCTAAGACAATTGTGTGGTTTAGGAGGGATTTGAGAATTGAGGATAATCCAGCTTTAGCAGCAGCTGCTAGGAATGGGAGTGTATTTCCAGTGTTTATATGGTGTCCTAAAGAAGAAGGGCAATTTTATCCAGGTAGAGTTTCAAGATGGTGGCTGAAACAATCTCTTATTCACTTGGAACAGTCTTTGAAATCTCTTGGTGCTGAACTTGTGATGATCAAAGCTCAGAGTACACTTTCTGCTCTCTTGGACTGCATCGAAGCTGTTGGGGCGACAAAAGTTGTGTATAATCATCTATATGGTCAGTAGTAACTTTCATTTGGCTTTTGCAGTTAGAATTAATGTTTTTTATTCTATGAAGGGGAGCCTTGGCGTAACGGGTAAAGTTGCTGCCATGTGACCAGGAGGTCACGCGTTCGAGCCGTGGAAACAGCCTCTTGTAGAAATGTAGGGTAAGGCTGCATACAATAGACCTTTATGGTCCGGCCCTTCCCCGGAACCCGCGCATAGCGGGAGCTTAGTGCACCGGGCTGCCCTTTTATTCTATGGATAAAACCTCTTGTTATAGTTAATTTTGTATTGTGAGCTAATTTGATAGATCTAATCCATTGAACTGTCAATAGAAACAGTTTCCAATTAGCTTTGTTGTTCTTTAATTATATGGAAAGGAAAAAGGGTAATACAACTTATCAACAGGATTGAAGTTTTAGACATCTTGGAGATATTAAACTTCTGAATTTACTGAAAGAAAATGATTTGCCTTCGCAGAAAGCAGATCTCTTCTGAGGTTTAAGCATTCCAATCTGTTAAAAAAGCAATAATTTTACAGAGAAAAGAGAACAAGAGAGAAAGCTCGGAATTGTTTAGTTAGGATAGCAATATCTTACAGGCCATAGTTTTCATAAGCATCAAAGCCACTCTGGATTATCTGATGTAGTTAATAGAAATAAATAGAAGCGTCCTGGCAAAGCTTCAAACAAAGAGGTTGTGCTGTTCACTTCATTGAATTGACTCAACTTACTTAAGATTAAAGATAGGGGTGGGGCGGGCAGTGAAGGCTAATTTATATAATACAGTAGAAGAGGCTTCTAAGACAAAAATCTAGTTATGTGCAGATCTTAGTAGACTATGATTAATAAGTTAAATTCCTCTAATGAATCAGTGCTAATGTTGGAATAAATGCTATCTTTGATGTGAAAGTGCCTTCTGTAGTCTGGAAATGCTCCTTAGGAATGTTCACAAGTCTAAGTGAAAATCACATTTTGATTGGACTTGGATAACCATTAATAGGAGGGTATGGAGGTCAAAAATTAGGGTAGAGGAATATCCCCTTACATACCGGTTGCTTTAGTATTACTCTAGTTGTGGCATACTCTTGGACTCATACTATTACTTGATATTGCTTGTGTTTCGGTTTGTTAATATCCTGTTGTTGGCTGTGTTCCCTTTCCATGACTTGTTCATTTTTTATATTGCATTTCTTTACTACTGATATTGTGCTTACTTGAGCCGATGGTCTATTGGAAACAACCTTTCCACCTGCACAAGGTAGGGGTCTGTGTACAGTGTACACACTACCCTCCACAGGCCTTACTTGTGGGAATACACTGGGTATGTTATTGTTGTTGTTGATTGGACTTGGATAACGCAGAATTTTCACTCCCTGGAAGCAGAGCTGTTTGTGATTTCTCTTTTTTCTTGCAAACTTATTGAAGCTTTTGACTTTTGGTTCTTTACTTCTTTTCTTTTTCTTCGTTTTGTTGTTTCTCTGTTTCGCTAGTAAATGAAGGTTACACGACATAAAAACGTAATGTTCTCAGCGATGGTAAGAATCCGTATGAATAGAATATGACCTTCAACAAAGTTTTGGTGCACTTAACTTGAATTGACACCATTCTCTTGGAAGCTGATTAAATTACCAGGTAGGTGTCCAAAGATAATCTATCATTCCTAACCGAGTGAAAAACAAACCTATAAGGGCTCCAAACAGCACCTTAATGGTACATAGAAGTACTTTTGCCTATGTTCCGAGATACAAGATAGTCATCACAATTTTACCTTTTCCCTTACTCCATTGAAATCAAATGGATGCATTTTTCACTCAACAGTTGAAGGCTTAAGAAATGTAAGAGGAGCTGCTAATTTCTAACGCTGACAATTCCCTTTTTATTGGCTGGATCTATAGAAGCATCATTCAAATTAAAAAAAGTTACAAGTTTAATGAACACCTAGGACTCTAAATGATCTGATGTGCTTGGTTTCTGATTCTGAGGAAGTATATGATCAATTTCCTGTTTGATTTAGATCCTGTTTCACTTGTTCGTGACCACAATATCAAGCAAAAGCTGGGGGAACTTGGCATATCTGTTCAGAGCTACAACGGGGACTTACTGAATGAACCATGGGAAGTCTACGACGATGATGGAAAAGTTCTTACAGCTTTTGATGCATACTGGGAGAAGTCTTTGCGTCTCCAAAAAGAACCCGTTTCACACCTTCCACCTTGGAAATTAATTCCAGCTGCAGGTATGTCTGAAGAATAGTTAATCTCATTTTGCTTGAACATTTGGAAGTACACTGAGCATCACTACATCCATTGTTCGCCATCTCTTGGATGTCTAGCAAAAATATGGTTAATACTGATATTGAACAATGTTTACCATTTCTTAGATGCTTTATATTTTAAATGCCTTGGCGTAACTGGTAAAGTTGCTGCCATGTGACCAGGAGATCACGGGTTCAAGCCGTGGAAACAGCCTCTTGCAGAAATGTAGGGTAAGACTGCGTACAATAGACCCTTGTGGTCCGGCCCTTCCCCGGACCCCGCGCATAGCGCGAGCTTAGTGCACCGGGCTGCCCCTTTTTATATTTTAAATGCACACGTATCATAAACCTATAGAAAAACCTGATAATTTTCGTCTCTCATTGACAGGATCAGTTAAAATGTGTTCGGTTGAGGAATTGGGACTGGAAAATGAGTTAGAAAAATCTAGTAACGCATTATTGGGGAAAGGATGGGCACCAGGTTGGAGCAATGCAGACAAGGCCTTAACAGAGTTTATAGAGAACCAACTACTTGCTTACTCAAAGGATAGGCTGAGAGTCGGGGGAAACTCGACATCCCTTCTGTCTCCTTATCTTCACTTTGGAGAAGTTAGTGTGAGGAAGGTTTTCAACAGTGTGCGTTTGAAGCAGATACTATGGACCAAAGAGGGGAATTCTGTTGGAGACGAGAGTGCTCGTCTTTACCTTAGAGCTATTGGGCTTCGAGAGTATTCCCGCTATATCTGTTTTAATTTCCCATTTACTCATGAAAGGTCATTATTGAACAACCTGAAGTTTTTCCCTTGGAATGCTGATCAGGCCCATTTTAAGGCATGGCGACAGGGTCGGACAGGTTACCCATTAGTAGATGCAGGAATGAGAGAACTTTGGGCAACTGGCTGGATTCATAATAAAATACGAGTTATTGTTGCTAGTTTCTTTGTGAAGTTCTTACTTCTGCCATGGCAATGGGGGATGAAGTACTTTTGGGATACACTCTTGGACGCGGATTTAGAAAGCGATATTATTGGTTGGCAATATATCTCCGGTAGCTTGCCCGATGGTCATGAACTTGAGCGCCTAGATAACCCCGAGGTACGTCCGGTTTATGCTTATGCCTAGCTATAAGCATGGTTTATATTTGGGGCATCTAGTTGATGAGTCCAAAGCTTATTTTTTTTAGTCAACTCTTCATGCAGGTTCAAGGATTCAACTACGATCCGGAGGGTGAATATGTGAGGCATTGGTTGCCTGAGCTAGCAAGAATGCCAGCTGAATGGATCCATCATCCTTGGGATGCACCTCTTACTGTGCTCAAGGCTGCGGGGGTGGAACTCGGAATGAATTATCCGAACCCTATCATTGATGTAGATGTTGCGAGGGATCATCTAATGCAAGCTATATTTATCATGCGAGAAAAAGAAGCAGCTGCAAATGCCGCAGATGCAAATGGAACCAATGAAGTTGTTTTTGATAACTCTGAAAATGTTGGAGATTCGGCCAATCCAAAGGTTGTAAAGGGAAAGGTGCCTTGCCCGAGCAGTTCATCTTATGATCAGAGGGTGCCATCAATGCAAAAGGGATGCACAAATAAGAAGAGATCAAAGCCAGCCGAAGAAGAAAAGAAAATCAAAGATAATTGGCTTAGCTGCAAGATCAAGAATGAAGGGAAGATCTCAAACGCGGATGATGACTTGTGCTCGACTGCAGAATCCTGTTCTATGAAAAAGCAGATGACCACCAGCAGAAATTCATTTTCAGTACCTCAAGCAATTTCCAAGTCTTACGACATAAAATCCTTTGATGGTGAAGCATCATCACATGTGAAGCTGCAAAATGAAGAAGCGATTGACATGGAAATCAATTCATGCAAAAATGGTATGACTCGAACACCCTAAGGTTGAGTTTTTGTTTGTGCAATTTCTCCATTTAGAACAGGAAAGCTTCATGTATTGCTACACAATACTTTCATTCTGTTCAATCTTTTTTCTTGTCTCTGTTCGAGTCTTCACCATGACGCGAACCTGTCTTCTTTCCATATGCAGGAGCTATTGCAGAATGATTCCCTCACCATCTCAAACGGCTGTCTCTTTCGAAATTGTTCAATAGGAGATACAAATATAGTCAAATCAGCATATGCAGTGGAACGGCGATTCTGTTAAACATGTCTTCTTGTAAATAACTACCTGGTAATCGTTAGCGGGGTTGTAGTTTGTTTGACATAGTAATGATAGAACTCAACTGAAGCAGCTCAGATTCATGGTTGAATCTCTACTTTGTTTAGTTACATATATAGACCATGCATTTGTAATCTTGAAAATGAATTTCTCTTGTATTTCATAGTAATAAAAGATGAAAGAGGTCATCCAGTTTTGAGAAACTATAACACAGTCTACTGTGGATATGATGTGCTTGTCTATTCTTATAATTCACAGATTTTTGCATATGTATTGTGGTCCAGCCCTTTCCTCGACCCACGCATAGCAGAAGCTTAGTCGCACCGGACTTACCCTTTTTCTTTCGGTGTGAAAAACT